TCATGGTCAGATCACTTCCTCGTGAGGTTTGTGCTTGAGAGCGGCCTCTCCCTCTGTAAGGGTGCGGACCTGATTGTGTGGGTCTGCCCCTGGAGCTGGATGGATCCGGACGAATTCCTGAAGGCCCTGGGGGAGTTTCATGCTGACAAGACTGGTGCTTCTGTCGAGGCTCTGGTCGAACTATGGAACGGGGAGATGACCAGGGCTGTTGACACAATCGCTCCTAAGCGTCCTTTCCCACCAGGCAGAGCCCACTCTTTCCCTTGGTATACATCTGAATTGAGGGTGATGAAGCAGGCCGGGGGATGGCTAGAGCGTAGGTGGAGGAGATCACAGGATGAATTTGACTGAACACACTTAAAAGCCCATTATCGGGCCTATGCTGTGGCGGTGAGGGCGGCAAAAAAGAAATTCTCCGTTTTCATTGCCTCCTCAAAATGCTGTCCAACAGAGCTTTTTCGGGTGGTACAAGGGCTGGTCCGTCCTGGCCCTAAGAAAGATCTGGTTCCACCCTCAAAGGCCCGCTGTGACGACTTTGCCAAGCATTTCAGGGAGAAAATCGCTCAGAGTCATCACGAGCTAGACTCTACTAGTGATTCAGAAGCTTCTGGGGAGATACCAATGTCACCGTCTGGTCCAAAATTAATGGATGAATTTCAGTTACTGCGGCCTAATGATGTGGACAAGGTGCTTGGATGAGTACATCCCACCACTTGCCTATTGGACCCTTGCCCATCTTGGTTAATTAACAACGCCAAGCGCGGGATTGGGACCTGGAACTTGGAAGTGGTTAACGCTTCTCTGAGGGAGGGTCGGGTACCTGCCCCTTTAAAGGAGGCGGTAGTCTGACCGGTCCTGAAGAAAGCGTCACTGGATCCAGAGATGGCCACTAATTATAGACCAGTGGCCAACATCCCGTTTCTGGGCAAGGTGTCGGAGCAGGTGGTGGCGAGACAACTCCAAGCACTCTTGGATGAAACTGATTATCTAGACCCATTTCAGTCCGGCTTCAGACCCGGGTACAGTACTGAATCTGCCTTGGTCGCCCTGTATGATGACCTGTGCAGGGAGAGAGACAGGGGGAGTGCGTCCGTGTTGGTTCTTCTGGACCTCTCAGCGGCTTTCGATACCATCGACCATGGTATTCTTCTGGATAGGCTAGCGGGATTGGGGTTCGGAGGCACTGCTTTGCAGTGGTTCCACTCCTATCTCAATGACCGATTCCAGAAGGTGGTGCTGGGGGACTACGGCTCTGTGCCATGGCAGCTATGCCATGGAGTACCTCAGGGATCCATTTTGTCCCCTTTGCTGTTTAACGTCTACATGAAACTGCTGGGAGAGGTCATTAGGAGGTGTGGGCTGCGGAATCATCAGTACGCTGATGATACCCAGCTCTACCGCTCATTCTTCACCAATCCAGGTGAGGCAGTGGCTGTGCTGAACCAGTGCCTGGCCGAGGTAATGGGCTGGATGAGGGCCAATAAACTGAAGCTCAATCCAGACAAGACGGAGGTCCTGTTGGTTGGCAGATCGGGCTTCGGGGAAGGTGAATTGAACCTAGTCCTGAATGGGGTTGCACTCCCTCTTAGGGACAAGGTCCACAGCTTGGGAGTACTCCTCGACCCAGAGCTTTCACTGGAAGCTCAGGTGACAGCAGTGGCGAGGAGCACTTTCAGCTTTGGCTGATCCATCAGCTGCTCCCCTACCTGGAGAACGACTGCCTGGCAACAGTGACACACGCGTTGGTGACTTCCCGACTTGACTTCTGTAATGCGCTCTACATGGGGCTGCCCTTGAAGACAGTCTGGATACTTCAATTGGTTCAAAATAGAGCTGCCAGGCTGCTGACGGAGACTGGGCATTATGTTCACATGACTCCAGTTTTCCATCAGCTTCACTGGTTTCCCATGGAAGTCTGGGTCCAATTCAAGGTGTTGGTTATGACCTATAAAGCCCTTAACGGCTTGGGTCCTGGTTACCTGAAGGAGCGCTTGCGTCCATACGTGCCCTCCCGCCCCTTGAGATCAGCGGGAGAGCCCTTCTCCGGGAACCCTCTGTGAAGGAAATTAGGAGGGTAGGTACTCAGAGGAGGGCTTTCTCTGCGGAGGCGCCCAATCTATGGAATCTGCTCCCCAGAGAGGTCTGCCTGGCGCCATTATTTTTCGGCGCCAGGTGAAGACCTTTTTATTCAAACGTTATTGTAATTGCTAATATTATTTGTTTATTTTATTCTTTGGCCAGGGCAACTTAATTTATACTGTTAAATTATAATGTTTTATATTATGTAATTTATTTATGATTGTGAGCCGCCCTGAGGCTTCGGCAAATGGGGCGGCATAGAAGTTCCCTAAATAAAAATAAATAAAATAACCTGCTACACTCAACAGAGAGATTCAAATCCACGTGGACCAAACATCAAATTTTCAAAAGTTACTGTCGAAAATCTGTCAAAAAAAGGTCCTGGAACTCTGTTCCGGTGCATTCTATGACAAAAAAAGCACTGGTGATCTCTCTCACAGAGCTTCCTACTACTGCTGCTTTGTACTTATCTCATATGTGCAGTGTAGAATGTGTGTGGTGTATTCCGACTGTGTTAAGACAAAAAAGCAAAGCACCAAGATTGTACTTCAACAAGGGCAGCATTTTAAATAGTTTCACCTTGGTCCTTTGCTGGGAAAGTGCATTTGCACAAACATGACATAAATGGATGGATGGATCAATGGCTCAATAGAATCCCAAACTATGTGGTTGTGCATAGGCATCTCTTTGAAGGCATGCATATTTTTTTCCCACCGTTGGTCTAATATATCCTATGTATTACGGCATCAGTGGCAGTGTAGGACCAGTAATCCTCAGTCCATTGAAGGATAACACAGATATAAATGTAACCTGTCGATGGAACAAAAAAAATGACTGGACAGAAATAGGCAAATTTACGCAGCTTGAGTAACAATGCTTTTCTCGTTCGACTGGGCTTCTGCATCTCTTGTTGTTGTTGATGATGATAGTCACGAAGTCGTGCCCAACCCACCACGACCCCATGGACAACATTCCTCCAGGCCTTCCTGTCCTCCACCATCCCCCTAAGTCCACTCAAGCTCATGCCGACGCATCTCTTATTAGTGCCATTTTATTATGACCAGAAGCGGGAGATATAGGACATGATCAGTTCTTCTTTCAGAAGAACCCAAAAGCAAAGGCCCATGGTGGCCTTGTTCTTATTTATATCTTATTTTTCAAAGAACTCAAAGTGGCTTACATCATTCTCTTCCCACTCTGTCTTGTCCCCACAACAGCAACCTCGGGAGGTAGATTGGGCTGAAAATCTGTGACTAGTCCAAAGCCATCCAGTTAGATCCATGCCTGAGGTTGGACTAGAACCCAGGTCGCCTGAGTCCCAGTCCCATGCTCTTAACACTGGCTCTCTCTTGTTCTTGGTGGCAGGTAGAAAGTGCAAGCCAAATAACCTGAACCAGCAAGCCATTTAGTCTGAAACCCAGAAGTCACCATCATAGAAAAGCATAGCAAAAGCACGGCAAGCCATATTTACAACTTAATGATAACATTTAATGACACTAATCAGTTAAGCAGCTAAGCATCTGACAGCAATAAATGTTTGCATATAGTGGGTCTGTGTAGTTCATGGGGTAGCAACCGATTTGGCTTCAAGGGTCACAGGTAGGATTGTGCTGGGAGTCCTTGCCTGTTTACATGCATATCCCAGCAACCTGCTGGCATCCATGGCTAAAAAGTCAACCTTAGGAAGAGGACTGGGGAGGGAGTGGAGCGCCTTCTTCCTACCCCCCACGCCGCCCCTTTGTGTGCTAGTAGCAGTGCCAGGGAAAAGTGTTGAGTAGCAGGAACCCCAGGAGAAAAGGCCAGCTGACCATGGGTGGGCTACCCTGATGTAAATCGCTCTAAATATAGTGCCTGCTAACTAACAGAGACAGGAGGGGAATTAGATATGGATCTCTCCAATAAGAATATTGGAGATATTATTAAATATTACAGGGAGAAGAAGTGATCAGTGCCTGGCATTGAGCAAAGCTTTTGTATTCCTGTGAACTTAGTAGCTGTTGGCTTGGAATCAAAAAGTGGATACTACATTCCTTTATTTTGCAGTTGGTTGTGATCTGTAGCTATTTCTGCAAGAAAACAAGTTCAGGCTTATTTTCTTTAATGTTCATTATCTGAAAGAGAATTCAATGCAGGATCTGAAGCCTCTGGGCATATAGTCACAGAGCACTTTGCATCTGGAATCTGTCCCTGGCTTACTTAGCAGTAGATGCTCCCTAGCCACTCATACACTATGAGAATCAATAACACATTGAAAAGTGTTTAAGGAAGTTTTCTTTAGTATCAGTAGAATCATGTAATGAAATAGCTTTGCTTTTTTGCCCACATCGTTCCATTTCCAGAAGGGTACCCATGTTCATGTCACAGAAAAAGCAACAGTCTTGTGCAGCTCAAATTTCTTTTTGATACCAAGGCTATTTTGCATTGTTGTAAGAAAAAGAGTGCAAGAATGTGGCTGTAGCATGATGATAGAAAACACTGTGCTTGATCCTATTCACACAAAATGGTGAATTCAGAGTAGAATGGGAAAAATAAAAAATAGTTTATTTGCTTTAATACACTGGCATGCATAGCCTATATTATAGCTAAGTAGTGACTTGTGTCATGGCCTCACGCCTTACGGAATACATTTGTAATTTGCTTCTCAATAATCCAAATTGCAAGTAAGTTGGAGGCACTTTTGTTCTATTTAATCAACATCTGACATCCCCAGTGGGATAAGCCAAAGTATAGGCCTCATACTTAAGCATAAATCCTATACACCAAATATGTAATCATGCGGTCTGATTGAATTCTTACAGTGGTAAGCACAGAGATAAAGAGCTTAACAAAGCAAAATGCTGCTCTTCCTAGCTTACTGGGGTTGTTAAGATGTAATGTGAGTTGCATATCCGATCAACGTATGGTATGTTTGTTTCTTTCAGATTTACCTCTGGATTATAGATTCAACAGATTTTCCTCCAATAGCTCAATAACTGCTGGTTACTATCCCAGACCTCCAAGATGTTTACTATCAAGTGATGAGCCAATGACAGCCAAATAGGAAAAGACAATCCAGGTGGCTTTATGTTGCTTAAATGAATATATCAAATTGAAGCAAATCTGTTTATTATGGTTCATGACCAAATTGAAGTGAATATTTCAACCTTATATATAGAAATGAATGTATTAGTTATGATTGGGAAACATGCAAATGAAATGCTGCCTTAATGCAAAAGTTAACTCTAAAATAAAAAATAAACAATGCAGACAGACTGCCCCTTCAAAAAAAAAAAAAAAAACCAAAGTTGTTGTTGTTGTTGTTTTACATGACTGTAATACAGGAGCCCTAAATATTTGTGGCAAATGTTTTCTTACTCAGATTTTGGAGAGTTTGCTGCAATCTTCTATATTCATGGAATAAATACTTGGACCAGTATCTTTATCCAGTTTGTGCATTGCATGGTCACCATGATTCTCTTCTGCATAGAGTAGGATCATGCAGACACATCTGCAGCACCACATTTTGTCCTCCTTACTGGATACTCCAGTTTGCGAGGTTCTTCCCATGTGACAATGAAGACAAGTGCGTGATAAAGGCCATTGCAAATGGGGCTGAGGGTGCACAGAGCAGAGCGCGATTCAGCACTGTACTAATTGGCCCATAATTTCACAGTCTGGTTAAACATCAATATTTGGATGTTAAGCCCTATGGAATGAGAAGGGAGTTCTACTACTTGATCTAAAATCTGTTCAGACCACATTAGTAAAACAAGATCATCCAGGCTGGTTATATACCCATTTTGAAACCGCTTTACAAAATGCATTCTGATAAATGCATGCTGGACCCTTTGGTTCAAGTACATCCTGTGAAATCCTTCTCCGATATGACTCTCTGCTTTATATCTCAATCTTTATGATAAAAGGGAACCTGCATAGTTGTTTAGAAGGGTAAGCATCCCGGATTTGTGAAATAACTTCAGTTGAAAAAGTGGCAGTGAACTTCTTTGTACTACTGTATGGATGCAAAATCCTTGGCAAAACAATTCTGTTCATGTCTAGGCCAATAGTGTTTACTCCCAGTTGATTGGTTATAGATTGCAACCTAACCCTGGAGCATGATGTGCACTTACTTGAGAATGTGTCCCACGAGTGTAATAATGCTCACATCTGAGCACATATGCATAGGATTGGGCTGTCGGCAAGCCAATGTATACATCACTGAACTGTTTCCATTATTAAAGAAACCGTGATATGCCAGAGAGCAAGCAGCCCGCCTTGCATGTGGACTGCATCTCACACAGAAAGGGTGAGCTGCTGTAATAATAATTACCACCCAAAGACCTGGTTGTATAAACTTATCAAAATTTCTAAAAGCTTCCGTCTGCTTTGGCAGCACTCATCTGTGCAAAGTTCAAAATAAAGGTTATTTATCCTGAGAAGCTCTGGATTCTGTTACTTACAGCTCTGCATAAGTAAAAGGTAATGGAACAGTTCCTAAAAAGCACAAGAAGTTGAATTCTTCACTGTGAATTAAAGATGGAAGGAAAACATGTTTTGTTCACCAAACTACAGTTATACTTCATTATTTGTACTTCCAATTTTGTAGTGCAAATTTTTCAAAATGTGTGTACAAAAAGGCATGTTAATAGAGGGAAATGCACACAAAAATGTGTCTTGCCAGTACTATACAAGGGTTAAGAAGAAACTTCATGAGGAGAAACTGCAAAAAAAGTGCATTTGGGCCAGATTCCATACAAACATGTATAGGAAAAGTACACATTATACATGTGAATTGTCATATAGACTTTTTTAATATTGTAAGTTAATGCAGGCATGGGAAGAAAAGAATTTAAGATTAGGAAAGTGGAATTGAGAGATGTGCAGCCTACAGATCTGTTGCATCCTACTCTGGAGTGGGACTGCTCGAGAGTAAGAAAATAAAGAGCCAAATTCAAAGTAATGACTTAATTTCCTTTTTGTTGAGGTCCTGGTAAGGTCAGTGTGGCTTAAGCTCTGGAGTGCACTGAAGTCATTGATGGATTGCATGTCTCTGACATTTTTTGTTGTTGTTGCACCTAAGCATTTTACCAGATGTCCCACCAAAAACTCTTGTAAGAGAGACAAGAGTAATCCAGTTAAATGACCTGGCAATCTGAAGTAGTGTCACTAGATCACAACTGATGAACATAAATATCCCACTGTATTCCCTCCTGTGGCATCTCCTGTCCATACTTTCACTGACTGTTTTACTACCTACCTCGCCACCTGCCACAGCCAGAAATGACATCTGTGTTTTCATCTTCCAGTTAAACAGAAAATTGAAATTCTAAATGGAGAATCTCAGGGTTCCAATTTAGCAAACCAGTTTTACAATCATTTTCATGCACAGATTGCAGAATACATTCAATCAAGACTGCCACATTTTATGTTACACTGTTCATGAGAGGCTCTGCAACCATTGTATGCATGCAGACATATATTTATGAATTACTAGATGTATATCCTTTTTCTTTAAAAGAACTCCAAATGGTTTGCATCATTCTACTCCTGCTCCACTCAGCCTTATCCCCACAACAGCAACCCTGGGAGGGAGGTTGGGCTGAGAATCTGTGGCTGGCCTAGTCATCCAGCTGGCTCCATGGCTGAGTGGAGAATAGAACACAGATCGTCTGAGTCCTGTGCTTAAGAGTACTGCACCACACTGGCTCTTGATATATGAAACATAAACATCTATTTGCCAGTGCAGAGATGAAGTTATTGGAGGGTCTATGCCTGTTCTGTTTATAATATACCTGTTAAAGGCATAATACCATGTTCAGGAGAAAATATAGTAACTCCTAAACATATGGCTGCATTAACACATGACATGGGAAGTCTTAGTGATGGGTTCTGGCCGCATCTTTCTTTTTCCAAAAGAAGCCACAGGGCTTCCAATTTATACTGGAGCTGTGGTGTAGGGAGAAGGTAAATCCGTACCTCCTGTGTTGATTTCTCCATGACAATCTTCCTCCCTTCAGATCTCCCTCCCTTAATATGGTCGGGCAAACAGAACATTTACACTTACTCCAGGACTTCTGGCAAAGGGGGAAATTTGCACCAGTGAATAAATGCAGGATTAAACTCTGCTCTTCCCACACCATGAGCCCAAACTACATTGCTTCTTTTGAAGAAAAAAAAAAAAAAAGATGTTGAGATATCCAGGCATAGATCTGTTGCATCATGTATAGTGTGGCCTTTAGCCCATATCTCATTTCACACATACTGATCATAGGATTAGCCTGAAGGTTTCATTTCTACCAACTTCTTATTACATCAGACAAAAAATAATAATTCATTCCCAATGTATTCACTGTAAGAAAAACAGCGGCCTCCTGAGTCAGGAAAATACAAGTAAATACACAGCCCGTTCATGGCATGTGCTCCTTTTGAGCAAGCTGGGATCCCCCTTTTTAAGAATGAGCAGAGAGATTTATCTGACTCATGAATTCAGCAACTCTTTTTAGACAAGCAGTTCCCTAATAATACATTCTCTTTTCTCAGGAGAAGCTTTTTCCACAAATCACTATAATGGGCAATAGTGACAAAGGTTTTCCTTCTCTTCAACAGAAATAATTATCCTTAGAACTGTTTCTCCCATCCCAACAATACAAAATTGTATTTCCTATATAGAAAACAAGAATTAAAGAATTTATCAAATATTTTTCTACTGTATCGTGCTATTTTGTTTTGTCTAACTTAGAAAAGTGTTCCTATGCCTCAGATTCTAGCTGTTAAACTGACTGGAAGGTCACACAAAAACATTAACTTGTCCAAACAATAGTTTTCAAGCTTTACAATACACAGGAAAAGAGGAGAAAATAATTACTCCTTGGTTTGCCACAAGCTATAGTTAGCCATTGCATCTGAAATGGAAAACTATGCTTTGCAATTGCCCTCTAACCCAGGATATAAAGATCTAAAGCAGGTCAAGAACTAGTGCAATCACAGTTCACGGGGCAAATGGATGGTTTGCCATAAATTGGGAAGTAACCAGTAACTGAATGACAAGTAGGTGTGGGGAGAGAGAGCATGCTAATCCAAAATCCAAGTCATGAACTGTGGACACGGGCACAATATAATCCTGTTTCTCACCACTTCTCCAAACAAGTCATTACTGTTGTCGAAACTGTCCATCCCAGTCATCTTGTCTGAGCAAGCACACCCAAGATCATTGGACAGAGCATTAAACATGTAGCTCCACTGCTGTATAGCTCTCTGGATTGGGCCCTTGGTGGGCAAGTAAGATGTAAGAGAGAGGATGTAAATCTGGAACTCATTAGAATATGAGACTGACACATTTTATCATGTAGGTTTCACTGGATCAAAATAGCTTAAAATTCATTGCTTGAATTATATTGGATCAATAAAAAAGTCAAATAATTCTGCTAATGAGTAAATAAAAGAAGTTTCCACTGTCATATATAGAACTACAAGACAGTCTGAAATACTTTGAAGTTTCAGTCCTGAGCTTAGAAGGCTATGTGGTTAAATATACTGTCACTCCATTCTTAGCTTCTACTTTGACTGCTAATTAATGGGATGTGTCATGGAGACACCTGTTTGTTCTTAAAAAATGAACTAAGCCCCTATCTACCATCACATGGTCAAGGTCTCTAAGGTGAAGGATGCTCCTATAAATTACCAAGCCCTTCAGCCATTTACTTGCTTGTAATAAATTGCATGTTTGAGTCAGTGGAACATCAGAAAGCAGATGTCAGATCTCAGTGGACCAGAGACAGAACAGTCCTTGTAGACATGCTTTGTAATTTTTGTGCCACTTATAAAATAAATACTGAAAAAAAGTTATTGCAAACAACTCCTCTCAGAATGAGATGAAGTCCCAGAGCACTGGCTGCTTCTTGTATTGTGGTTATGAAACAACATTTTCCTGAAAAACCAGTTCAAGTGATACTTAAAATAAACTGATTCTTCCACAAGCAGCTCCCAAAGACTAAATGTCCTGGAGTATAGTAAGTGTCTTTTGTACAGTAAGATAATGTGGAAATCCCGTTAGAATGTTATGGGTACCTTATAGCATTCCTTTGACAAATGCTGCAGTGTGCAACCACAGAGGTGTTTTTAAAAATCCTAAACAGATGTTACTATTCACAGAGGCAAACATCTGAAGCTCTGTCAGTGCTATAACAAAAGCATTATCAACAGAATCAGGCAGAAGAACTTCGTGCTTTCCCAGCCCACGTTCAAATGCATTTCACGTATTTGTTGTTGCTGGAGAGATGAAAACCAGGCTAACCACTTCTGAATACTTTGACGGTTTAGGTTGCTTGGCCTAATTAAAGGGTAGAACACCCAAGATGACCGCTGCACAAATGGGATCCAAAGCCAATAAGAGGTCATCTCATGATTTGAAACTGCACTAAGCCAGACAACCTTTGAGTTTTAACAGCCAATTCAGCATGGTTTTTAAAATCAATCAATAATAATGATTTTGGAGAATAAGAAAAGGGTTGCCTGGTTTATTAAAGAAAAGGAAAGTTGTATTTTCATGGAGATGCTACAACGTGTGATGTTGTTTTTAAATAGAATTTAAATCAACCAGCTGTGTAAAACAAGTTATGGGAGAGATCCATCTACAATAGATTGAAAAGGCACCAAAGTACATGAGAACCAGAATGGAACAGCTCAAAGTATACACGAGCAGCAGGTTAAAGAAAAAAAATTATAAAGTTGTTTTTTAAACATTTTTGATCCAGGAAATGTGACTGTGCTACACAACAATCACAAAGTCTTTTTTGCTTTGCTAGTAGCAAAAGTATTTCAGTTACTTGATGTATTGGATAAAGAGGACTCTCTGCCCTGAGGTTGTCTTGAACCAAGCTGAATCAATCACAGTCCCTTGCAGTCAGTCAATACTTTTACCTTCTAATACCTTGGTTTCAGTACCTTTACCATACCAATTGGCCTCCTGCAAGAGCAGGGGGTTGGATGTGATGTCCTTCTTGGCCCCCTCCAACTCTACTACTCTATGCTCTATTTGTACTGCCCTCCATATGGCACTTTCGGATGGCAACTAAACACATTACAGACATGTCTCAGACTAATCAGTTAATGAAGATGCTCGGTGATATTTCTGGTCCTCTTTTGCAGCCTTTTGGATCAATACAAATATAAAGGAAGTGCATTATGAAGTTCTCAGCTGGTGGTCTATTACTCTATAGGGCTTCACCTAATATGCTCAAACTATAGTTAACACTGGAAGGGTGGTTGAACCAAATGGTTCATTCAGACACCTGTCAAAGAAATGGCCAATAGAGCAGGAGTTCTGAAACCTTGCTGATTCTTGGCAGTAATCCTAAAGCTATGCTTCCTTGTTTAGTACCTCAAGAACCTGGGACTACTGATGTGTGAGGAATTCAGTTTGGAGGTGAAAATCCATCAGATTTCCTCAGTTTGGCTCCCTGGACTCCAGTCTGCTTTCTAAGTCTACCTTGTACCTATGAATTTGCATGGCCTTCTGGTGGGAAGTGAATCCAGGTAAGTCCATAAGGCCAGCTGACTCTGTGCAGAGTTCTGCTCCAGCACACATGAATTTTGAGTTTTGTGTACTTTTGTGTACATTAAATCGTGCAAAGATTTAATGTACTCTGCATTCTTTATGCAAACAAGACACTAGTATTCCTGAGCATTCACAGACTTGATCTTGGCTCAGCTTGCTTCCTGGCCAGGGCCAAGTATGGGAAAAAGGTCCAGCAAGTGCAAGAGGGCCAGATTCCAACCTCATCTTCTCAACCCTTCCTAGGACCTTCCCCACCAATTGTACATAGCAGTAGCAGCAGCATATATTGCACAAAATTGAAAGTCTCCCAAGCAACCTTCCAAACAGCAAAGAATTTATAAAATTAATTTGAGAGATCATGATTATGTTCAAAATTAGCACAGAGAACAAGCAAGGAATC